TAAGCGGCAGTTTTTGCAGTGACCCTTTTTGGATTTTTCGCGCCGGACCTGGCCCTGGCGCTGGCTCTGGGACCTCGGCTTTGGCCAGTTTTTTGTTGGTACCCCTTTTAAGGGGGTATCTAGATTTTGAGGGTATTTTCGTGGATTAAGAAAAGAAAATATCCTTTCTCTAGCTTCTATAAGTCGGAATTTCATATTCGGTACATTTATCATCGGAGTTTCACCGGAAAGTGCCATAAAACTACTTCCTTGAAGGAATAAATATATTTATTTCTTAGGAAATTTCAAGCAAAAATGCATTATTTATAAATTCTGGGGTCTCTTTATATTACATTTCCAATAAAAATACCATTTAAATATCATTCTTTAGGGTATCCATTACTTCGAGCCCTCAAATCGATGTCTCCTTCCCTCTTTTTTTCATATTTATTGACAGCTTTTACTGTTATTGGGCTGGGTCTCAGTCGAACGGCGTTGACACGCCCCCCTGATACGTTGCTGCCTCCAACGTGCAGTAACATATAAAATTTGCATTAAAATTACTTTGATTACAAATTGGTCGGCCAACCCCCCGTGGATTCTGTATGTCCGGTGTCCACCATTCAAAGTCGCGGCGGGGTGACAAAAAACGCACTGCACGCAAATCCCTGCTGCACTCTTTGCAGTCGAGGAATACAAAAAAAAAACGCGTATTTATGCGCAAAATATTGTATTTTTAAGGATTATTGATTTTATTTGAGCAACACGGAAGTGCAGCAGCAGATTGCCAGGCATTTTCCGCGTGTGTGTGTGTGTGTGTGTGTGTGTTTTCATCTGTTTTTGGAGCGAAGTGGTGGGAAAAAATAAAACAGGAAAGCATTCAGGGAAACGTGTTGGCGAAACGCACACAAAAGCACACACAGTCAGACACAGAAAATGTGCATTTTGTGCATTGTTTAATTATGCAAAATGTCGACAAATTCTTGTCACAACAAAAGCTTAGTGAAGTGAATCTGAAGTTAAGGTAAAAAGTGCACAACAGAATAAATATCAGCCACAAAACAAAACAGCGGCAAAAAAAGCAACACAAATTGATGGAAAGTGTTTCATTGAAATTTGACTGGGATACGAATTGACTCTTGATTGTGATAAATTAACGATTGTTGAAAGGAAATGCTGATTGCAGATATGATCCTTAGGAAGAGCTTATTCTTATGCATAAATACAGTGATAATTATGGTAATAGTGGGTGGGGGGTAACTAATATTAATTTATACAAATGTTTGAGATGCCTTTGAGTTGTGGTATTCACCCATAAAGTACTTTCCGATGATATTTACACCAAGAAAGGGCATTTCAAAGCAAAGAAAATGACTAAAAATAAATTAACTAATTATAATACAGCAATTATTCCCTCAAGTTTATTCCACACACAATTTGATCCACCAAAAAGAGGAATAGGAAAAGTAGTAGAACTAATTGCAGAAATAGTAGCAGCAGCACAGGAGGTATTTTACGGAATGCCCCACCGCACTCAATATTCAGATCCATTCAGATGCCAAAATTAATATCATAATTTCGAATAAATTACTCATCAATACACCACATCCCACAACCCTAGCGCCCGCTGCCACACCACAGCCCACACGCACAGAGAGAGAGAGAGAGAGAATGTGCTGCATATTTGTGCTTTAAGTTAACACCACAATACCCCAGCACCCACCTAGAACCTAGAACTGCCCTTCTACAGCCCAAAACGATGCAATTTTCAATGCATAATTCATTTGCCCAAACAAATTGATTGGAATGTGTTTATGCGCTTTGCTCTCCCTGTCCCTGTCCCTGTCCCTGTCCCCCTTCACCTTCCCATTGCACATTTCAATTCTCGGGCAGTCAACCCGAGCAACAACAAATTTGTGATTTACCTATAGGGCTACCCCTACCACAGGGAAAAACAAAACAAAATGAAATGCAAAATGCAATGGAAAAACAATGCGAAAATTGAAAATTCTCCATAAAACCCAAAAAGGAGAATGCACTTAGGGTGTGGGAGGTAGGTAGTGGGTGGGGCACACGTCGCGTTGCGTTTGTCGCAATAATTCACCGCAAATGCCGCAGCGTTCAAAAGTAATTGAAAATCGTAGAAGTAGAAGGAGCACCCGAAAAAAGAGGACCAGAGTGCATTGCTGACCACGCCCACAGACCATACGCACAGCTCAAAGAGTGAGGAGGGAGGGGGAGAGACTGCAGGCTGTATCGAAATTGAGCAATCAAAGAGTGGGAGAGGCCGGTACGCTGTTAGTGTAACTGTCCATGTTCCTCAAGGACACGCAAGCCAAAAAAAAGTTGAAGGCAATCCAAAAACCGCAACCGATTTTCCCACGCAGGGCATACGAAAAACTTTGATGAGCAGCCGCTCATTGAAATGGCATTTTCACTCTCAACCATTGCGCAGCCAAGTGTTTTCCCATCGTTAAATTTTTCGTGCACTGAAAGTAATTGCAGGGGGCACGTGCTGTGAGCAAATTGCAGGAACGGGAACCCTAGAGAACAGGCAACTTATTGAGACATATCCATTGCAAAGGACATGTACCTAGAGGGTTATAGGGGGTAGGTTGAGGAACAGGAATCGAATGCCGTGTCCTGTGTATGAATGTCTCCCCTGCGGCTTTATGAATTATGCGACTTTCAACTACGACGTAGATAATGTTTTTCTCTTTCCGAAACGAAACGTACTTTTTTTTCTCGTTCTGCATTGTCAGGCACTTGAAAATGGTAATGGAGTTTCCAGGGAAATGCTGTTTACAGAGGATCGTTTCTCGCTTTTTGTTATTCCAAATTTAATTAAACAAAACTGACAACAAAAGGGAGCAGAATGAGAGAATGAGCAGAATGCTGTTCCCATTTTGAGGGTTCAGAAAAAACTGGTTTGTCGAGAGCAAAAATTAGTTTGAATAGGGATTCCGGATTGCCGTATGCTTGAGGTGCCACTCAAGTGCTGCATTATGCAATTAAATCAGCTAAAAGCAGATAAATATTTAACAAAAGCCAAAAGGAACCCTCGAGGGCTGCCATGACATGTGAAAGAAGACCAGTTCGGGCAGCTACAAAGAGGTGGGAACAGAGAGACTGTTCAAAATCATAGAAGAGCAGGAGAAGATCATAGAACATTGGGAATGATCTACAGAAGAAATTCCAGAAAGAACTTCACTTAAAGTTCCACTTAATCCACACACAAAATATTTCTCCTATCATCCTTAAACATTTTATGTATATTTTTTTAAAATTTCATTAAATCTTTGGACCACATTGATCTATACTCTCCCCTCCGAAATTATTGTACATTTTTTAACATTATTTGAACACCAACTACTGGCCGAAAAAATTTGATTAAATGTGTAAAAATGTTGATACACATGAAACATATTTGTAAAGTAATAAATATTTTAGATACGTGCAAAAAACTAGCAACATTTTCTTTCCTATTTTGAATGTGTGTGGTGTGTGGACTTGGATAAAATGTACAACACTCTATCCAATTTGTAAGCCGTTGTTGCTGTGTAAACTCTGGTCCTCCGTTTGGTTGTTTACCTGCAAAAACAATATTAATTAATGAAATACTTGACGCGCGTTTCCCAGCTGCTGGTAGTAGTATTTTTTTTTTAATTTTTTGGCGAAAGAAAATACCAGCGAGTTTTACTCTCTTTTCTCAGTTGTTTGTTTCCATTGGCATTTCCATATATCCCATCCATCCATCCATCTACACTTTATCCCTTGCCCAAAAAATAGAGAGAGTGAAGGGAATATACACACAACAGTTGCAGAGATTTCTGAAATACTTTTTCGTTGTTGTTGGATGGGATGTGCCCAGACCACGTTATGCACAGAGAGGGAGAGGGAGAGGGCATATGCTCTCCACGTCTGAATGCCTTTTCCGTTTGCTATTTCAATTGAAATTTGCTTATTGCAAAATGTTGTTCTCCGTGTTGTAACCCATCCCCAAGCCCCCAACACAACCTGCGCCACCCAAAACATGCAAACTCTAAAGAATTTCTAGTGCATTGCAAATTGGCATTGAAGTGCAAAAACCCAAGCCCAGAGACTACTCTACAATGAGACGGCGATGCGCACAAGTATTCTGCGAATTTTTGTAATAAAGTTGCCAACAAGCAGAAGTTTTTCCCTAACCCGCAGGAAAGGGAGTTATTGAGGGGTAAAGGGTGTCTGGAACACCAACAACAACAGCTTTGGGTAACGAAAGTTATCCCAGAAATAAACATCAACATAAAGGTGGTTAAGCAGTCTATCAGGGCATCAAACGCGAGATAACGGAAATAAACTTGCGTAAAGTTTTACAGAAATCGATGAGTAGGGGTAAGAATTCAAAATAATTCTTACTAATGGGGAATACTATCAGGTATTTGTATCTTAAGATCTATGGATATGGGCGGGAAGGGATTAATGCAACCAAGTCGTTTGACTCATGTTTATTGCACCTTTCCAATTTCCAAAATAAATATTTAGGATAGAAATTCTATATTGAAAGTGATCCACGCTGAAGCAGAATGCGAAACATGTGGGTATTCAATTTAAAACATGTTTTACTACTCCAATAAATGATTTCTGTGATACGAGTAGGAGTAAATTATTCTCATTTGTTAGCTTTAAAATGAATGTTTTTTAGGGACCATCATGTACACAAAAACATATCAATCTTTTTGTATTCCTGAGAATTCTCATATGTTAAATTGAGATCAATTTTGGATATTCGATTATCATATGTTGATAGCTAAAGAACTTACCTCCTTCTACCCTTGGTAGTTTTATTACCACTTACTCTTACCATCACCCCAAACAACTGTCCAATAATGTTTCACCTGAGTATCACATTTATAATCATTTAAATGGCCTCTGCTGATTAGAGTCCCTCCCCAAAACCACTTGAAAGCAACCAAATGTCTAGACAAAACATTTAGCCACAACAGATAAGAAAAATATTTCAATTTCTTATCAAAACTTACTTTAACTGAGTGACTTTATTGATTTTTGTGCTTCTTTAGCTTTTTATTTTTGTGTTTTAAATGACTGCTCTTTTTTTTTGTGTCACCCTTCGATGAAAGCTTTCGCCAAATTACAGAAAGCAAGCGTTTGCTTATCCAAAAACTAATATAAAGCAGAGCCAAAAGGATCGCATAAATATCCAAATTATGAGCAGCTATGAAGCTCATGTGCACGACGGGACTCTGCAGATGTGGGGCACCATGATGACGGATGACATAGTCCACCCAATAGAGCAGCGTCTGACGTGCGCTCAGGGGACGATCGCGGTAGAGCGAGGAAAAAGCTTTCACCGCTTGATTGTACTTGGGATTCTCCATAATACCGAGGATAGCTTCGCGGAAAGTCTGCTCCTCGAGAGCGAGGAGATTGAGAGACAGTCCAAAGCCCTGACTGACCATGGCATCAGCATTTCCCGGTTGATCACCAAACACTGGAAGGGCTAGCATGGGTTTGCCATGATATTGCGCCTCGGTGACGCCTCCCTTGCCCGCGTGGGTGATGAACAGTTTGATCTTGGGATGTGCCAGGATGTCGTCCTGCGGCAGCCACTTGGCGTAGAGAATATTCTCCGAGATCCCGGGTGTATTCTCCAGATCGTCCCACTTCCAGATGACTTTTTGCTTGAGTTTCGAGATGACATTGAACATCTTTTGCACGGTGTCGGGTTTGATGTGCGCCGCCTTCACATTGGAGCCGAGGCTGAGGAGAATGGCGCCATGTGACTCAGTGGCGCCATTTAGAAAGTCTGCGATATCCTTGGGCAGAGGATCCGGTTTATCCTTGACCTGTATGCCACCAATCTCAATCACACCAGGGACATTGGGTCGAATGGGTCCCTCACTGATGCCATGGGAAGCAAAGAAAATCAGCGAAATATTTTTGTGCAGATCCTCATATCGTGGCATCGAGGGATCATCGCCATAGAGGTCTCTGTAAGGAAAGTAATTAAATTGGGTTTTATTTTAGTTTTATTTTCCTTTTACTCACTTGTAAATGTTGTCATTATTTTGCTCAATCAATAGCGTAAATATCCAGTGTCCCACAAACGCAAGTAAGTTCTCAAAACGCTTGCAAATGGTCATCGTTTGACCCTTTTCCACGACTACATTCATGGCTGGTACATAGGAAATTTCACTGGGATTTCCCAGGACAGTGCCGAGCATTGCGGGTGGATTGGAGAGTGCCACTATTTGAGGCGCCTTTAACTTGTGGGCCAGCGACAGCTGCAGGCTGTTCATAAAGTAGCCCAAAATTACCAAATCAAAGTGATTGTCCGAATGCTCGTAGAGATCCTTGACCCTTTGGTGCCGCAAGACGTCCTCCATTTTAGCAAAGAGCGGTTTCATGGAGCCCATGGCCAAGAGCATGGAAATTACGGCATTGCCAGTGTCCCGCTTGGCCATGCCCGCCACAAGGGCGCCAAAGGACTTGCCATCCGCCTCATCGAGTGGCACTTGGATATGATTGATGGATGGGTGAAGAAGCGGCGGCTTTAGCGCAGTCACCACAGTGACATTGTGTTCGCTTTCGGCCAAGATCTTGGCCATGGACATTTGAATGACCAAATGCGATGGGCTCAAACTGGTGAAGAGTCCCAGAATATTGGCAGACTGGCCGCCGCCGGCCAGCACGGCCAGTAGGAGCAAGGGAATGCCTAGCGATTGTACAGCCATTCGAGCACGAGAGCAACTGGAAGTCAACTGATATTGGGGAACTATGCACAGGTGGCCGGTACTGGCTCTCCCTTTCACGGAGTGCCTTCCATGTTAAGCGTTATCAGCTAAATGGGCTATCAGCCAGTCGGTTGCTGCGAGTTTTAATAGCTTCTTAATCTTTCGAATGCCCCAAACACCTGTTTTCTGACGAAGTAAAGCAAAATTAATTCTGCTGTTGGGAAGTGGGACTCCAAACAATTTAAAATCTCGATGATAAGCATTATCTGTCATTGACACTGGGGCAATACTTTCTCTCCTCTCTCTTTATAGATTCTCACGCTCTAAGGAGAGCATATTACAACGGGAGGAGCATTAGTTTGAATAGATAAGTCTGCACGTAATAGTAATCGCAATCATATTTAAGGCCGTCTTTCGATAAGCCAATCTTTGTTACAATCTTTCAGACGCTTATATAATCTACTGAATGATAGCAGCTGGAAGTGTTAGTTGTACTTGGCGATGTCTTTTTACATAGAGTTATGCAAGAGAACCGCCCAATCATCAACACAATGCAATTTTTAATGATTTTGAGGGAATTTTTGCTTGGAAACAATATTTTAACGGATTTCGAACGTGTTTTCTGAAGTTCTTTGGACGCTATCCCTATTTGTTGTGCTTTAATCGGAGATGTTCAACATGTTTTTTCCGCATTGCAAAAATTTAAAGAGAGTCGAGCAGAGTGTGCGCAATCGTCATAAATCATCGGTCATTTAAATCTCATTAATTCATAGAATCAATTGATGGGCAACGATTAACAGAACCGAAGAGATTTAACATGTTTGATCATCTGTGTTTGACTCGAGTCGAGCTCGAACACGAACCGTAGATCGTAGGTGTAAATTCGACACCAGATTCTCGGTAGCCTGAAAACGAGTTTAATTATAATTATTACTTTTTATTACTCATTTTCTTATCTCATGTTTGACAGAATCTATTTCTTTTCCTTTTTAATTTTATTTATTTATATTTTTGCATTGTTTTGTTCAATTTGTTCACTTAAATGTACTTAAATTAAGTAGTCTAAAAACATTTGTGGAGTATTTTTACTATGGATTGTGCCTATCCGTTGGCAGAATGCTCAGAGGAGTGTCGCAACACACTCCTACTCCTCACACTTTACTGCTTCTTGACCTTCTTTGACTTCGAGGAGAGCTTCCTGATGATGAACTTAATCACAGCCTTGGCCAGCAGCAGCAAAACAACTACAATGATGGCTAAGATAGCGTAGATATCCAAGTTGTTGGCGGCTATGAAGCTCATGTGCATCACGGGACTCTGCAGATGGGGCGCTCCATGGTGCCGGATCACGTACTCGGTCCAGTAGATGACCGTCTCCCGGGCAGTGAGTGGACGATCGCGATAGAGCTTGGAGAACGTGGACACTGTCTGGGAGTACTTAGGGTTGGAGAGGATCTCCTCGATGCCCTCGCGGAAGGGCTGCTCCTCGAGGGTTAGGAGATTGATAGTGAGGCCGAAACCCTTCTTGACCATCCCATCGGCATTGGCGGGCTGGTCCCCAAAGACGGGAAGGGATAGCATTGGTTTTCCGTGGTACTGGGCCTCTGTGAGGCCTCCCTTGCCCGCGTGGTTGATGAACAGTTTGATCTTGGGATGGGCCAGGATGTCGTCCTGTGGCAGCCACTTGNAGATAATCGAATAAATTAATGGTATGCGCCAAATGAAATATATATTGATTCATGCTGATAAATCTGTTTACATCTTTCTGCAGGAGGGGAAATACCGATGTGGGGTATGCATGGTGCTATGTTGCGGTGGGCTTTGATAAGAACATTCTCATCGAAAAACTGCAGAGACATGTTCTGATAAGCAAAAATGATTCACAGGGATTAATATAAAAACATTCTTGCAACTAGAAAGCTAATCATTTGTTTTTCTTTTAACAAATAATCCCTTTTGCATTGTTTTGTTCAATTTGTTCACTTAAATGTACTTAAATTAAGTAGTCTAAAAACATTTGTGGAGTATTTTTACTATGGATTGTGCCTATCCGTTGGCAGAAAGCTCAGAGGAGTGTCGCAACACACTCCTACTCCTCACACTTTACTGCTTCTTGACCTTCTTTGACTTCGAGGAGAGCTTCCTGATGATGAACTTAATCACAGCCTTGGCCAGCAGCAGCAAAACAACTACAATGATGGCTAAGATAGCGTAGATATCCAAGTTGTTGGCGGCTATGAAGCTCATGTGCATCACGGGACTCTGCAGATGGGGCGCTCCATGGTGCCGGATCACGTACTCGGTCCAGTAGATGACCGTCTCCCGGGCAGTGAGTGGACGATCGCGATAGAGCTTGGAGAACGTGGACACTGTCTGGGAGTACTTAGGGTTGGAGAGGATCTCCTCGATGCCCTCGCGGAAGGGCTGCTCCTCGAGGGTTAGGAGATTGATAGTGAGGCCGAAACCCTTCTTGACCATCCCATCGGCATTGGCGGGCTGGTCCCCAAAGACGGGAAGGGATAGCATTGGTTTTCCGTGGTACTGGGCCTCTGTGAGGCCTCCCTTGCCCGCGTGGTTGATGAACAGTTTGATCTTGGGATGGGCCAGGATGTCGTCCTGTGGCAGCCACTTGGAGTAGAGAATGTTGTCCGATTTGCCGGGGGTATTCTCTAGATCCTCCCACTTCCAGATCACTCTCTCCTTCAGCTTTGAGAGGACATTGAACATTTTCTGGACGGTGTCGGGGCTGAGATGCTTTCCCTGCACATTGGAGCCGAGACTGAGGAGTATTCCTCCATTTGTGGCATTGGCCAGGAACTCCTCCATGTTCTGGGGGAGTGGAGCGGGCGTATCCTTGATCTGAATGCCACCAATCTCAATCACACCAGGGACATTGGGTCGCACGGGTCCCTCGCTCAATGCATGGGAAGCAAAAAACACGAGGGAGGCGTTCTTCATCATCTCTGAGTACTCGGGCATGTTGGGATCATCGCCAAAGAGTTCCCTGGGGAGAGTAAAGAGAGAGATTAGTACCATTTCTGGGGGGTTTACTAAGGATTCACCTACTTGTAATACTTTTGGTTGCGTCTCTCAATCATTCTAGAAAACAATTTATAGCCAAGGCCCATCAGGTATCCGCTTAGACGCTGTTTGAAGCTCATGCCCTTTCCCTTCTCCACCGAATCACTCATGTCGGGGACATATGACAGCTCTTCCGGATTGCCAATGAGGTAGTTGAGCAACGGGCCCGGTGGCATAGTGGCCAGCACGATTACTGGTGCTTTGACCTTCTGGGCAAAACCCATCTGATAATCGTTCAGGGCAAAGCCCGACAGAACCAGATCGAATCGATTTTCCTTGTTATGATAGAGATCGCGCACTCGCGGATCCTTAAAGGCATCCGCCATTTTCTGGGACATAAATCCCATCTGTCCGAACATGCGGAACATGGCGAAGAGCATATTTTTGTCATCGTTCCTTGACATTGCCGCAAAGAGCTCGCTCAGGTATTGGCTCTCCTCCGCGCTCAGGGGTACGCTTATCACGTTGATGTCCTTGTGGCTAACTGCCGGCTGCAGAACAGTCACCACTGTCACATTATGTCCCCGCTCGGCGAGTGCCTGGACAGCCGACATTTGTATAATCAAATGCGAGGGACTTAGGCTGGTGAACAGACCCAAAATATTGGCGCCCAGACTGCTACCGATAAGTGCACCGACGACAACTAGCAACAAAATTCGCACCATACCTACGTGTGGGGAGCAAGCAGCAGACTCGAGGCTCGACAACTGGCAGCTCTGGTTATATATTGAATGTATTTTGTGTTACTGAGACTGTAGGTTTGCCGCGATAAGATGTGATAGTTAAAATAGCAAGGCATTTCGGCATAATCTTTGGACATTTCGTGTTGGATTTTTCGTTTATATTTTGATTGATTGTTACCCCAACAGAGGAACACAAAATCGTCGCGTAGCGAGCATAAATATAGCAAATAATTTTAGAAGAGATTAAGAAAATGTTTAAGACGATAAGCGGCATTTTCTTATCAAACTTTTGGGTGCACTTCCAGCACGAAATGGCCAAATATTATTGCGAAATGAGTTATCATTACCCATCACAACATTGAAGCCGCATAATCGCGTTGTGGGAGCCCCTTATCGTGGCGCAAGCAAACCCGATTAGTCAGCCAATGTCCGCGCCGAAATTTTTTCAATAATAAGCAGCGCCCGCTGGGGCACTATCAACAGTCCGTCGTTGGCTTTAACCCCGTCAATATGGTGCAGAACGTTACTCCAATCTTGTTTGTGGCTGTCGCCGCCGTCGCGCTTATCGGAGGAAGTGAGGGAGCAAATATTCTGGGTTTGTTTCCCAGCTTAAGCCCCTCCCATTTGATCATTCAAATGTCAGCGGTCAAGGCGTTGGCGGAACGGGGACACAATGTCACCGTGGTCACCGTACTGAAGCCAGCAGTCAGCCACAAGGACATCAATGTGATACGCGTGCCCCTGAGCACGGAGGAGTCGGCAGAGATGAGCGCCATCATAGAGAAAATGTCGAAGACTGACAACAAAAATATGCTTTATTCCATGTTCCGGATGATCGGACAGATGAACTTTATGTTCCGCAAAATGGAGGATGCCCTGAAGGATCCGCGAGTACAGGACCTCTACCTAAACAAGGACAACAAATTCGATCTGGTACTTTCGGGATTCTTCATGAACGACTACCAAATGGGCTTTGCAAGGAAAGTGAACGCCCCTCTGATTGTGTTGGCTACCATGCCTCCAAATTTGTTGCTGAATTACTTGGTAGGCAATCCCGAGGAAGTCTCGTATGTCCCGAGCATAAACGATTCCGTGGAAAAGGGCAAAGGACTGTCCTTCGAGCAACGCCTCAGTGGCTACCTCATGAGCTTGGGCTTCAAGGTGTTTGGCAGATTGACAGAGAACCGCAACAAAAATACATACAAGTAGGTGAATCCTTAGTAAACCCCCCAGAAATGGTACTAATCTCTCTCTTTACTCTCCCCAGGGAA